GATACGAAGAATTGCAATGTTTTGCCTCCTTTTGATTTATATATTGTCAGTGTAATACATGGTTTATTAAAAATCAAATAGTACTAAAAACCTTATAACCAAATATATTAGTGCGCTACTTCCTCCCTTCTACCTGCCTCCCAGGGGGAGCTTTCAACAGTGTGAGCTGTTTCTTCTGGTGTTTGCCTTCATATCTCTAAATAATACATTTTTGTTACTATTTCTTCATTTACTTTTTTTCACATTACCTATTAAAACCCTTTCTAAAAGACTTGAATATCCTTAGACCTCTCTTTTTATTTCCCTTTTCTCGTCCTCATACTATAGTTACATCAAGTTACTGATTAAATTTTAGATCAGATATTGTCTCATTTTCTAATGCTGAACCTAGCAGTATACTGCTGTTAACTTTTTCCCCCTTAGATTAATAATTGCCTTGCTTATTCTTTAGCTCTTTATGGGCAGAATGTGGATTTTTCCATATATTTCAATCATTATCTCTCAACCCTATCAGTTTTCCAAATGCTCAAACACAGTGTTTTACCTTATATCAGTTTTATATTTTTCAGTTTTTTCCCATGGAACTGCCCTTCTACAATCTTCCATCTTCATGTTCCAACCTAAACAACTTGCCAAGTTTGGCGCACAGCTGTTATCTTAGGAATTCTTTCTATATTGAATCCATTTTCCTGAATCCCGTTTACTTCTCTTTCTTTGTACCCTGTTGTTGTTGTTGTTGTTGTGTGCCGTCAAGTCGGCCCCGACTCATAGCGACCCCTCCTTGGGTTTCCGAGGCAGTATCACTACGGAAGTAGGATTGCCCAACCTTCCTTCTGAGGAGTGGCTGGTGGGTTTGAACCGCCAGCCTTCTGGTTAGCAGTCAAGTGCTTTAGCCACTATGCTACCAGAGCTCTTTGTACCCTACACTTCTGAAAATGTTTTTAATCTAGCCTTGCAAAAGATTGAAATATAATTTTCCTTTAAAAATATGAAGCATTGTTTTAGTATCTTTTAACATCCAACTTTGCTATTGGAAGGTCCATTCTGGTTATCATTTCTTTATATGTGGTTTCCAACCCTGACACCCCCTGCCCAAGCTCTTGGCATCTTCTGGTGGTGCAGTGGTTAAAGCACTCACCTGCCAACCAAAAGATTGGTGGTTCAAACCCACCAGCCACTCCATGGGAGAAAGATGTGGCAGTCTGTTTCCAGAAGGATTTATAGTCATGGGAAGCTTATGGGGCAGTTCTGCTCTGTCCTGTAGGGTTGCTAAGAGTCAGAATCACTTGATGGCAGAAGGTTTGGGTTTGTATTTTCATGATCGATGTACCTTGATGTAGGTGTTTTTCTTATTTTTCATTGAAGTGGGTATTTCATTTCATTAGGTCCTTTCTGTTAGGAGATTTGTGTCCTTCAGTAATGGAAAATGTTCTAGGTTTCTTTTGTAATTCACTGCTGTCCGTTTCCTCTGTTGTGTGTTTCTTGAATTTATGGTATTTGAATGCTGGGCCTTCTAAGATTGATCCTCTAATTTTATAATTTTTCTCTCACCTTTCATTATTACCCTTTTAATCTGTTTTCTGGAAATTTCTTTAACTCTGTCATCAAACTGTGCATTCCATTTTCACTTAGCTATCCTGCTTTGATTTCTAAGAGCACTTTCTTAGCTGCCAGGTGTTGCTATTTTGTAACATCCTATTTATATGTTGGATACAGCATCTTCTTATTTCTCTGAGGAAATCAGTACTACTTTTTTTGACGTTTTCTTCAGCTTTATGAATAATTGTTCTTTCCTCAGAATCTCAAATATATTAAGGACTTTTTGCTTCACTTTGTATTTCAAGAATTAAATACTTAATGAGCTAATTCAAAGTTCTGGGTACAGACCTGTCACTGATGATTGTCCTTATTCAGGGTATTAGGAGAGCCCCCAGTTATCAGTCTCTGTAGAGCAATTCTGCTTTCTCCAGAGAAGAATCCTGTGATTCTTCCCCTTTGGCAGTGGGCAAAAAGTCAACCTGAGGTCTTGCTTTCAGGACCCTGGATGGGGAGGGGCGAGGCCCTCACTCTATTCAAGTATGTTGACATTCGCCTAACTCCTCTGTTTTCTCTCTGATTCCTCACCCCTAAATGGGCACCATGCCTGTGTCTCTAAGTCCTTAAGCCTCTGGTTTTCATTTCTCCAGAAAATAAATTTCTTTATTTTAGTCTTGTTTGGGGAGTGAATAGAGATAAACTTGTGTTCGGATTGCTCTGTTTTCCTAGAAGCTGATTTGCATCTTAAATAGTTTTTGCTCATTACAAATTAGCTATCATTATGTTTTAAGTGCATTGAAGTGGCACAGTGTTTATTCTTTGTTGAATCATGTCAAAAAAAAGAACATTTAAAATTTGAAGTTAACAATATATTTTAAACAATAAAACAGGCATATTTCATTTGTTACCTAGTAAGTACAGTAATTATTTTTTAAAACCTCAAATAAAGAATATTAATTCATATTAAAAAAATCAGTTGTCGGTTGCTTTAAAATCATCTTGGTGATTTCAGTTTAGTCTTTTTAGTTCTATCTCTGTGATATCCAAATAAAAAGAATATTTTATAAAATGTGAAATTATTATATTCATTAAATTTTAAACTTTTGAAGTAAATCGTGCATAAAGAGTATACAGAGGTATAAAGCTTAGTGGATTGAAACAAAATGAACCATGCATAAGACTAGCCATCCAAGCAAGCAGCAGAGCAGAGATGGGACCCCAGGGCCCCTCATGCCCACTCCAGTCTCTGTCCCATTCTCCTCCTAAGCAGGGGACCACTGTCCTGATTGGTAGCACCATAGATTAGTTTTGCCCTTTGTATTAGTGGATCATACAGTGTATATACCATTGTGTGTAGTTTGTCGTTGTTGTTAACTCAACATTGTGTTTGTGAGCTTCATCCATGTTCCATGTAGCAATACTTTTATTTGTATTGCTGCCATTTTCTGTTGTATCAGTATATTTCTAATTGATTTTTCCATTCTAATTTTAATGAGCATTTGTGTTGCTTCTAGTTTGGGGCCATTAAGAATAATGCTGCTATGAACATTCTATACGTATTTTTTGGCCACATATGTACTTTATTAAGCTTTTAAAAAGGATTGGTGATCCGTATGATATTACCACTTTAGTGCATAATACCAATCAATTTCAAAGAGGTTTCATCAGTTCACACTTTCCCCAGCAATGTGTGAGAATCTCAGTTGCTCCATATACTTTCCAACACTTAGTGTTATATTTTTAATTTTAGCTATTCTTTTAGGTGTATGGTGTTATCTACACAGAGAAATTACAAAAAAAGAGGATATCTAGATGGCAAAAATGGGAAAAGCTCCCCAAATTCCTAGTCATCAATCTCAATTTTTTTTTAAGCTTGATTTATTTGTTTACTCTGGTAGCATAGTACCTAAGGCACTTGACTGCTAACCAGAAGACTGGTGGTTCAAACCCACCAGCCACTCCTCAGAAGGAAGGTTAGGCAATCTACTTCCGTAGTGATACCGCCTTGGAAACCCAAGGAGGGGTCGCTGTGAGACAGTTCCGACTCAAGGGCACATAATACATAACAACAACAACTTGGTGAAAACGACTATAGTCCCCATAAATTTGGTTTGGATTTTGTTTCTGTGTCTTTTTCCATATACTGCTCCCTTACAGTGCTTTTCATTCAGAGTTTGTTGTTGTGTGCCATTGAGTCAGATCCAACTCATAGCAACCCCTCCTTGGGTTTCCAAGGCGGTATCACTGCGGAAATAGATTGCCCAACCTTCCTTCCAAGGAGTGGCTGGTGGCTTTAAACTGCCAGCCTTCTGGTTAGCAGTCAAGTGCCTTAAGCACTACGCTACCAGGGCTCTTAGGGGGTCTTTATCTCCTTTTTTTTTTTTTTTCCCTAATTCCTTTTTACCCAGTTATTTTACTGAAGCTGCAGAGGATCTTGGATAGCCTCCTGCTGGCTGACCTTTTTCCCCCTAAGTGTAATGCTTAAGGCACTTGACTGCTAACCAGAAGGCTGGCGGTTCAGACCCACCAGCCACTCCTTGGAAGGAAGATTGGGCAGTCCACTTCCGTAGAGATACCTCCTCAGAAACCTAGGGAGGGGTCGCTGTGAGTCAAATCAACTTGACAACGGCAGTGAGTTTGGGTTATTTGGTTTGGTTTGGTTTGGTTTGACATTTAATAACACATTTTTCAAATACATGGCAAACTTGAAATAATTTTGCAGTGACCATCCATATACCAACCACCTCGCTTTTACTATTAACATTTTAACACATTTATTTCATCAAATCACTCTCCATCTGTGCATCCTCCCGCCCACCCCCACCCCAATTTCTGGCAGATTTTTAAGTACTTTTTCAGCCCTCAGCATTGCTCATTCATTTTCCACAAGATGCTCACTTTTACAATCTCTCATCTTTGTATATACAACAATACCAATATTTCTATTTTGAGGGTAGAAATTTTCCTTTTAAGTTTATAAATTTAGAAAAAAAAAAAAAATCCTCTTTTCCAGAGTAATGTGGTGTTCAGTTACAAATCATCTCTTCCAAGCAGCCATTTTGTCCCTCCCCACCTGTTCTCTTCCAGGATTTGTGAGTCATTCTAGCCACTCTGGAAGCATGAATGGAGGTAGTTACAGAATCATGCTGTACATTCTCCCATATTTGGAAAGGTGCCATGGAGAAAAGACAGACGAAGTTAGATGGTCTTGACAGGTTCTTCCTTCTAGTTCATAGCTAGAAAGTTCATCTTCTGTGCCTCAGTTTCACCATCTGTAAATTGAACATGTGAAACTAGTTATGTCTCAGTTCCCTCCCTCTGTTCTTGCAGTAATACCTTAAGATTTAGCCGGTGTGGTACCCTGTGTTGTTTCAACTTTGGCTTTAAATTTGCAAAAGGTCACTCTTACCTTGAGACCCTGGGGACTGTGACCCTGATTCACTTCTGTGTGTGTTTTTTTCCAGATTGCTGAAGAGACATGAAAACAACTTGTCAGTGCTAGCCATTAGTAACATGGAAGCTTCCTCCACCCTTGCCAAATGCCTTTATGAACTTAATTTTACAGTTCAGAGTAAAGAACAAGAAAAAGACTCAGAAATGCTGCAGTGAAAAATAATTCCACTTGTACAGTGGGGACTCAAAGAAAGTCAAATACATTTCACATACTGTTACTGAAGAAAGCACCAAGTCTTAATGGAACAGAGACCATAGAATGAATTATTTTATCTCCTCCCATGATGCTGAGAGGAAGCTTCGTATTCTGATCTCTGAGCGAATCCCTTTGTTCTCTGTGTAAAAAAAAATTTTAAAGAAAAAAAAAGAACTGCTGTGGGATTGTCAACCAGTTTATCTGCAGGATGTCTCTCAGACCCGATAAGTCCTGATGGAAACTGGTGTGATCAGAATTCAGTACCATCCACATTGGAATATACATGGGATATTGTAAAACCTACATGAGCAGATGAAATAGAAGCATTAAATATTTTTATCTATATCCAGAAGGAGCACATTTTTATATTTACAAAACCGTTTAAGCTGGTTTGAATAATTTAAAAAAAAAAAAAAAAAAAAGTTTCAGCACACCGATCCCCTAATCTCAGAGGGACTACCAGTATCTAGCTATGGTTGTGTGTTTTGTTTAGAAATCAGTAGCTTGGTTTTCTTACTTGAGCCAATATATTTTCACTTATTTATTATCATAAAAATTTACCAGTCTGACTAGATCTTGTAAATACTTGTGAATAGAACGAGCACCCATTCATGCCACTGCAGCCACTGGAACACGTTCTGTGGTGTCCTAGAGCATTATCGGTAGCTTCTCAAGTTTTCTAGACTTTCCTGTCAATTGTAAGTAATTGTGATATATTCTACGCAGTGGATGAATGTTCTTTAAATTTGTGTAAATACTTCTGCAAAGGTACTGATGCTGTAAAGTCAACAGTTTTGTGGAACTGTGATTCCCCCTCCCCCCATATTTCCCCTTTTATTTGGGTTTTTGTTCCCCTCCCCCTTTTTTTGTATCATACGCCTTGTAGAACTCATTTTGCTGGCTGAAAGAGTATGGAATAATATATCTCATGTCATTTTTGTAGAAGAAAAACTATTTGAAGGTATTTTTTGGTTTTCCCTAACATGTATCCACTGTAAACGTTTGTCATGTGCAAGCTCAGAGCTTGGACAGAATTTTTTGTATTTGTAAATTGGTTTAAATACATGGAATTTTATACAGGTTTTCTCCTGTGTTATATATGCATTATGTGCAGGTATGATATTTTCTTCACTACTTTTTCTATCTTAATATAGTGTGGAATTTTATTGTATTATTCTTCCATTCTTAATACTGTACCACATTCCTGCTCAGAAACTGCTCACTTCCTTAAATTGTCTCCCCCACCCCAGTGTGAAATGTATCCATTTATAACTGCCTATTGCCTGTTCTATTAGCATCCAAAAATGTGGAAGGCCTCCCAACCACCATTTCTGCTGTGTCCTTAGGATGTGCAGTAAAAGAATTATAGACCTAACAGTTTATGTTATAGAATGGCTTTATTTACTTTGGTGACTGTTTATAGTTTTTAAATAAAAGACTGAACATTTTCTTGAGTCCTTCATTTCTGAGTATGCTTAAGATATTCTTAAAAAAAATACAGAGAATCCTAAATTCATCTGAAGGCAGGGTCAACGGTCACCTACCTATTTGATTATGTTGATTGAAAATGCACTAAACAGGAACAGATAAGTCCTTTACAAGGCAGATTTGCATGAGATAAGTGAGAGACCAGCTAGTTTTTATTTTCAGTTTGTTATAATGCCAAGTAAACCCAGATACAGCATACGATTGGTGCATTTAAATCTCAGGATACTTTTTACAATTGGTCATTTGAAAACCTCAGTCAAAATTTTTCACTTAACTGAAAGCTCTTATTGTTTGACATTGTGTTTGACATTTATTCAGAACCACAAAGCACCCAATCTTCAACCTGAATTTTGGGGTGAATTCTTAGAGTGGAAGGGCCTCAGTCTGGATATAAAATGTTTTTGGTTTTTTTTTTTTTAATACTTTGATTCAACTACTATTGAAGGAAATTCAAAATTTTCTCTTTAAAGGGGATCCCTGGCACTGTTCGTTGCCATGTATAAGTGAATACCTGAGAGATTTCTCATCCAACCTTAGTCGTGATTATTAGGAATGTAGGGTTTATTCTTGGCCCACTTCCCAAGACTGGAGCTGCCTGCCCACAGGCACCCCAGAGATGAATAGGTAACTCTGGAATGGCCCTCAAACTTCCCAAAGTTCACAAGGTTCCAATAGTTGGCATTATTGAGAGAATTTTCTATTCATTGTACTTAACATAAAAATTCCTTGACTTTTTCTAAAACAATCTTGGTGTAACATCAATGCTTGTTTTAAAGGTACCTGTTTTATTTCAAAATAAGAAACTGCAATGATAATTAAATTATTAGAAAAGAGACGAAACTCCAGGTTTAGAAAAATTATTTTCATATTCATCACTCTTCCACATCATTGAATTGCATGCTGTAGCTGTAGCTTTTGTGCTATAATATGTAAATATGTCTGTAGTCCCTCAAGCATTGGTCTCAGCAGAGAATTTTCTAAATGTGTTTGACCTAATGAAACCGATTGATGGCTTCCCACTTACGTTTTTCCTCTTATAGCTTTATAGAATTATGTAATGAAATAACATGGACTTGCTGGGTAATGGAATTAAAGTGCTCATGGCACAAAAAGTTCTGCATAACCCTCTCATTCACGAAAAGGTGCTCCTCGCTAGACAGAAACTTGCTGATTTCCAGTATTGTTATTTTTGTCTAAAGTTCTGTAAATACATGCTTTAATGTTATCTTTGAGAAATCTATGTAAATAATATAGTCTACAACATAGAGACTGTACAATTCTGTGTTATATATGTGCCTAGTGCTCTGTTGGCACTCAAATTTTAAGTAACAAAATTGATAATCATATAGCCAAGGCATATTTTTCTTCCAAGCTTGAGACAGGATGTGACTATATACTAATGAGACTCGGTAATACAAGCCACATGTGAAAACTCGTCTCATTACTTTATAGTCATGCCATGTATGTTTTTTTAACCATAAAATGACAATAAAAATGATTTTTAAAATGAGAATGTTTTGGATAAGTCACTTCTGTCCTGATCTTAATCACTGTGAATAGAGTATTAAATGCCAAGCAAAGGAAACACGGGGCCCTTTCTCAGCAAAGCAGAAGCTGGTGAGGAGCCAGAATGGAGCTACACACAAGACGAACCACATGGGGCACCTGGCACTTTGCTCGTGGATCATTTGTACCAAATAGTAGTATATTAAAGGAGGAAAACGCCCAGTATCTATTCCAACGGAGAGTTTATCTGATCACTCCAATATGGCTTGACTCTTGAAAGTATGTGAAACATTCACTGAGATACTCAGAATTTTAACTACACTAGACATAAGCTCTGGTAGTGTAGTGCCTGAGGCACTTGACTGCTACCCAGAAGGCTGGTGGTTCAAACCCACCAGCCACTCCTCAGAAGGAAGGTTGGGCAATCTACTTCTGTAGTGATACCACCTCGGAAACCCAAGGAGGGGTCACTATGAGTCGGGTCCGACTTGGCACGACAACACAACAACAACAGACTTCTACCAGCCTGCCAACAAGACCAGTGTGTAATGACACCACAGCCAGTGCTCTTCTCCACCACGCTCCTAGCTGTGACTTTTTAGTGGCATTTACATACCTTCATCTCATGAAGAAAGGGAGCACGTGCTTGTCTTGTAAAAAGTAGGTAGAGGATTATGTTATCTATGGGCGAGAACAGCTAACAAGCATTGTCATATACTTAACGCATTCATTTCCTTTGATGGTAAGACTACACTTAAGAGGGAAAAAATTTATTATTAAGTCCTAGTTTCTGTGGATTTCAGTGTGAAATACAACGATACACATATTCAAAAAATAAAATGCCTTTTTAAAAATGATTTTTGTGAATAAGCAATATGGTCACTAGATTCAAGAATCAGGTTTTTAAAGAACACTCAGAAGTGTCACTCCCACCCTCACTGCCAGATAACCACTGTTCCAGTTCGGTGAGCACACCTCTACTATTTATTACATACATGCAAATACTAATATCTTACTTTCTCCCTTTTTTACATGCAATTTTCATACTGTCACACTGTGCTGCACTTTAACTGAATGTCTTAAGGTCTTAACAGTATGTAAACTTTCTCATCCTTTCTGCAGCTCTGTAGTGTAGTGTTCCATTGTATGGATGTACCATCATTTCTGTACACACCCATAGTGATGGACATTCGAATTATTTCTAGACTTTTAGTATGCTGCTTCATCTGAATGACTAGCATTTGCTAAACATTTCACTCTCTGTAAATGCTAAGCATTTTACATGTATTGTCTCAGTCTTCACAAAAACCCAATGTGATAGCTAATGTTATTTAATTTTACAAGTGAGGACAGTTAAGAGCTTTGACCAAGGTCATATGGTAAGTAAGGAGACTTCTTTTCATGGGGAGTCAGAGTCAAGGGCAGGAACCAGCTACTATATACAGGCCGTCCCTGGGATATGAATGAGATCTGTTCATTTCTAAGTATATCTTTAAGTTGGACTTGTAGGTAAATCTGAATTTAGCCATACTTTAATGCAAGAAAAGGTTTGAAGCCTTTTCAATGATTTACAAGCTGCACCTGCAGCAAGTGAAGGTAGTTGTGATAGAAAATTTGTTGCCAGTAGGGGTTTGTTCAATCTGTGAAGTGAGGACAAATTTATATGACATTAAAGGGCAAGTAGGAGTTGTCTGTAAATCAGACATTCCTAACCTGGTGACTTAACCTCACACACAGCACGTGCCTGTTTTTTAATGCAAATTTTTAAAAAGATTTGCCACATTATTCCTGTCAAGTATTTTCCTCCACATTCTGTGGTCCTTTTAAAGCTTTTTCATAATTCCTGAGATTTATTTTTCAAGTATTTCATTCATTTGTTGTTGTTGTTGTTGTTATGTGCCATCGAGTCGGACGACTCATAGCGACCCCTCCTTGGGTTTCTGAGGCCTTATCACTGCGGACGTAG